TCTTTTCTAAATAAATAAATTTCGCTACTCCTATGTTTACTTACTGTTTCAATTGTCAGTTCGTATAAAAAGAATTACGATACAGTGTGGCGTGTACGAACGCAACACCTAGTAATTTTTTCAGCCGTATTGCCGTGTGCATCCTCTGTGCAACGATAATTCTGCCACCTACCGGATGTTCGGTGCCGTCCGCCGCTCTGACACAGGAAGAGGCTGGCGACCGCGCACTTTTTCCGTTTCCGATCGTATCTCGACGAGCGCCACATATGTCCGCGGTATCGTCGACTTCTTCCCTCCTCCGAATAAAAATGAATTCGGGTAATGAACATTAGAGCTCGAATACTATTCGTTGTTGAACTTCCTATAATTTTGAGTGCATACTCGACAATAAAGAATTTTATATTTTTTGTCGACCACAATTTATATGTCAGTTCTGTCAAATAGTACAAAATTATATTTACATACTTTAATTCTTTCAGAATACAAAAGAACGTTGTCGATAACGTAGAAATGCAAGATTTCTCTCCGCTGCACAATCGGTATTGTTGCAAAAACATATAGCACGTTCTATTTGATCACAACTAATTGCTTGGATATGAAGGTTGCTTCCTTCTTACGACTTGAGTACAACTTCTGTACAACGCATATTCGGCATGAATGGTGTAGTAACATTTCTGTAACGTATTCGAAAGCATTTTGCTTTGACATTGATGTATGAAATTGTTTTCTCGTGTAGAGACGTTTTTTCGTGTAGTGAAAAAGTGGGCATTCAGTACACAAAAACACGTCCAAATTTTGAACCGTAAACTACAACATTATAAGTGACCACAAGAAATCGCGATATTTTGAAGTTTGTCTATACACCGAATACAATTTTGTCACTGGCAATCGCCTGAGACGTTCATTACGCTGCCATGTGCTAATATGTCCGACCCGTCAGAATATATCAGTAAGTGTAGCTATTGTGTTGCAGAAGCTGTGGTGTGCGTGTCGGCGTCATTGTGGAGGACAACTTCTGATGAAGTGCAAAAATTAAAGAAAGCCGCCAGTGCGCGTCTTGAAAACCGTCCAATGCCGAAGCAGTGACCGCTTTTGCGATGTATTACATTGTGGTCTTTCGTTTCAATAAAGTTATTCTTACTTGTTTATTGAATACTTAGGTCGCTCAGGATCAGCACCTTTTCTGTGAAGCTGCTGGTAGCAATGGCAAAACGAACAGCAGCGGGATTGCCGCCGTCTCGTCGCTAGCAGTCGGCGTTTCGTCTTTCGACACCATGGCTGACCACGTCCGAAAAGATGTGCACTGCATACTCGCGCTTGGTTAGCATAGAGAAAAGACAGTCCATGGGGCCCCTTGCTTTTAGCATTCATATATCCCCGGTTTTCATGACTTCGAGCGATGAATAGATCAGTTGGAAGTGAGCGCTGTGCGTGTTTGAAGCCTGGGTATGTGCGCGCGCGCGCGCGCGCGCGCGCGCGTGTGTGTGTGTGTGTGTGTGTGTGTGTGTGTGTGTGTGTGTGTGTGTGTGTGTGATTGTGTCATGCGTTCGCGCTCGAATCAATTTTTCAAACTTGTGTACCAACTTGCGCAACAACAATTTCTTTTATATAACGTTTCAAAAGCGCGCTATTTTGTGCAAGATTGCCGTAGTCCAGAGCTGTGGGTTTTTCGGCCATCCGGTGCTCTTTAACACGCACCGACGTCGACATGGGCTGCACATGTAGTGCGTCGGCAAGATGACACTGGTAATCAAGGGTAACTTACTGGATTCCAAGGCAAGGCAAACGTGCGAATAACATACATGCACACGTGAGTATAAGAAGTTAGTGGGTTTAACGTGACAACAGAGAACAAAGGATCGGGTTGATTGACCGCTGGTAATCAAGGGTCATGACTGAATTCCAAGACAATGCAAACGTGCGAGGGGCACATGTAAAATATGTGCAGAGGTGAGATTAAGTAGTTAGCGGGTTTAACGTGGCAATGGAGAATGAAGGACCGGTTTGGTTGGCGGAACATGAGAGAGGCTATTGCCCTCGAGAGGGTGTAGTCAGCATGATGATGACGATGAAGTCGCACAGTACATGGTCATGTATAATTTCGCCTCCACCGAAATGAGGCCACCGCAGCCGGGATCGACTCGGTGACGTTCGGGTCAACAGCGGACCACGGTAATCACTCATAAATCATGGCGGATACCATAGAGTTTCATAAAACGAGACCTAGAGAAGACTCTGGCGCTAGTGTCTATGCGGGCTCCTTCTGCGGCACTTGTATCACCAAGAGAATTATGGGAAGTACAGGCTTCCGATCTGCTTCACGTTCTTGAGATTGGCAACGCTTGTTTGACGAATGTAGAACAAAGTGATATGAAGTTATATATTCGAAGCTTGCTTCATTCTTTAGTACGTAAATCTTTTTGCAAAAATTTTTCGTTGCTTTGAGGTGAAAGTGAAACCCGGAGAAATTCACCCGCCAGGGCATGCATTATTCTGCCATTGCGTTTCAAGCTTGGCATCGAGATATAATAAACTATTTTTTGCAACATTTGAAAACAAGCATGCTTATTGTTCTTTTCGAAGTATGCCATTTATCGAAATAACAGTACAGTGTGAAGTCCTAATTACGTAACTTTTTGTCTGTGGCGATACCAGGTCCGTCTGTCCAAGTGGTCTGCCCCCAATGCACCTCCCGTTCTGTTCCAGTCAGAGGAGCGTGATGGTTCGTCTACTTAGTTTCGCGGCATTTTCGCCGTCGATTTAAACAAGTTTTGGCAACAAGCTATCATAAAACACGTGAACTCAATGAATTATTCTGAACTGACATGAAACGCTGCATGTATGCACAGTGGTGCATGGGCCGCGCTTCGCTTAAATTGTCAAATGCGATTTGTAAAGCTCCAAGATTGCAGCAAATCAATAGACCTAGTGGTGTTTAGTTTCTTTGAAAAACAAGATCACTTCTTCGTTGCTTTGCATCGCATCCCACAACACCGGCTGCACGAATAACGAAACTGAAACTGTAGAAAAAAGTTTTATAGACAGTTCGGTAGCTAACGCATGCAATCCCAAGCCTGTACTTTCTGCAATTCCCATGCTGGTACACGATCGCAGTGTCAGAATTCTCTCTAGGTATTATTCTATGAGGCTCTATTAAAGACTTCTATAGCATTTACATGATTCGGAAAAGTACGCTGTGTAGGCATGGGTTAAATGTGGAGAGGTCATAGCAGTTCTGTTCTGGCTGTGAGCACCCAGGGGCACTGTCCTGAGCCCATGGGAAGCCAGCCTCGGCAAACAAATTTGTTTTATTTTATTTTTTTCTTTATTTATTCTGACTTCATGTATTTTGCTGCATTCTCAACCACGTGACCTTACTCCCTTTCTCTTTTTGACGAAGCGTCTTTTTTCTCTTCAGTTGACATGTTTTCGCAACCAACGTGGATGGTGACACATAGTCCGCAAAGGCAGATTGTTCTAGAGTTATTACTTCAGCAGCAATCAATTGCGTGGCCGTCAAGTGTTTTACCAGAGAGCTCCGCCACTGCCTTGATGATAAAACACCCCATACGTGTGCTGAGTCAGTTGATGAAACACGTTAACAGAAATAATACTTGCTTGGCATAAATGTACAATTGCACCCTTCTTAACACTAGATGAGTTTTATAACAAGTATGTACTTCAAATCTATCCGCTATTCTGAAACCGCTTCCATAGTTCAAAAGTAAAGATTATCATAATCAGCCATGGCTTCAAGAAGTGTGCGCCTACGTAGGCGCACACAATGTCTCAAAATAACGTAGTTGTTGCTTGCTCATTCGAATATGTTGAACTCTAAACTATGAATTAGTCATTGCACAGTTTCTGAGGAAAGCGGATGTTCCCTAGACGAAGTATAACAACTCTGAAAGCTGAGACGTTTAAAATGAGTGCGACTTCAAAAGAAGAAAAAACTCAATAGAGACTGCAGCAATTATCCGCGGCGGCACTATCAAGCGATCCGTCCTTTAAGATTGATCTAGAACTTTGCGCTGGCACAGTGGATAACACTGCACTTCGTTCTAAAGCGTGTGGTCGAATTGGTGATTCTTGGCATACCAGCCGTATTCTAATAGAGCTGATCTGCAAAGGCACCAGTGTACTTGTATTGAGGTAGTCAGTGTCAGTCGCAGTAACTCACTGCTACCTGCTACAAGATAATCCGCATTCTAGGCCATATCATGTCAAATACCTTAGTTTTGCACTATTCCATTGTCGAGTTTAACGTGCCAGAACCACGTTATCGCATCAAGTCACACGATTGTGGAAGACTCAGAATAATTTTATATCTTGAGGTTCTGATAATGTGCACCTCATCGTAAGTGAACGGTGCCCCTACAGCTCTTTCTTATTGAAATGCAGTTGCCATGATGAGGTAGTGAACGTGAGTTCTGGAGCCCTGCCCCAGCCAAGAGTAAATCAGCAATAGCACAAGCGCGAGTATTTCAGTTTATTAACAATGTAACAAGAATAAAACAAACGCAAGAATATGCTTGCTAGAAATGCAGCATGCTGATGAAAACGCTAGCGCAGAGACATCCGCTGGTTTTAAATAGTTCTTACACGCAAAAAGCAAAGAAGCGGCTGCTAAAGATGCTGTTAGAGGAGAATTAGCAATCTGTTTTTGTTCAGTAGTAATGAAGAACAAAGAAACCTAGTGAACTATGAGATATTTTGAAGCACCAAGCAACTACGACGTCATGAGAAAGAATGAAGCAACATCCGTTTTGACGCCGAAATTCTGAGAGAACGGTCAAGGTCACTAGCACGGACTCACACCTTGCGAGCTCCTTTATGGCTTCCAGTCTTCGTCCGATCATAGAGAGGTTGGACGTACTCTCCTCTGTCCGGAAGACTACAAGGCGTGCCCCGCTTTCTTTGTGACATCCCGTAGAAAATGCCGGATGTCGCCCCGAGAGGATGCACCCTATAAGATGCGATGGCACACCTGCCTCCTGTTCACTCAGGACAAGGATTTCTCACCATGAGAGACACACTCCTGCTCGCGCTCCTTCTGGGCGCAGTAGCAGTTGCCAACTCCGATGAGAATAACAGTGAGTGTCTCGTCTTTCACTTGATTACTACCAGATGAAGAAGCTGCTAGCACGCAGAGCCACATTGTTGCGTTATATTGTTAAGTAGGAAAGCCGAATACTTCAGCTTTCCTTACACTACGCACTGCTGTTAGAACTCGTGCTTCGGGGATTTAGTCTAACGGCTCCCACTGCCGGGCAAATTAGTTTCCCATGTTCCACCAGACGACCAGGTCCTGTGCTTGCTGCTACTAAGTTGTTCCCGTGTACTTCCTCACAAATGCCCACTTAAATTTCTCCCCCTCGCGCATTTGCCGCCTCCTGGAATGCAGCGATCATCCTCCCTACGTGCCACTTGACCGGCTCATGTTCGTTTTTCCTTGATTTCGACCACTATATCCTTAATACCCTTTTGTACGCTTACGCATTCTTCCTTCTCCCTGTCTCGTAAGGTTGCTTCTATTACTTTCTTTTCACTTGAAGGTGAACCCTTCTAAAGAAAAAGAAGAACAGTGAAGCTCCCACACCAAGTAAATGCGAACTATCGTCGAGGTATGTAAACCTGTTTTAGCTATTCATAGGGCAAATGTTCCCCTCGTACATTAGAAAAATAATTAAATTTGCTCAGAAGAGATATTGCTTGAATTTATTTATTGTTTGTGCTATCCTCAAAGACTTCAGGACAGGAGTTATGGTATTCCGTCATAGGCTCAAGACGCCTTTCTTGGTATGATGATTGAGTTGCACTAAAGTGACATATTCAAGGTAAAATACTACTTCATATTTTTTACCTATATGCTGCCATTTCAGTCAGAAATCACCTGTATATTGTTTATGTTTCATTCAGATCCATGTTCTCAAATCTGGTGCGCAGAACTTGAATAGAAACTGGAGTCAGAATAAATTTTATGAAATATATGCCTGCGTCAGGCACTACCTGACGCTCAAGCTACCAAACATATCGTGCTATCCTCCTTGGCGAAAAAAGGGTCTGGGTTGTATATTTTGTTTCCTTGCATAGAGCTCAAATCACGCCTTAATACAACTGAAAAAAATAGACTTGCATAACTTACAGGTATAAACTGCTGGTTACAGGTATAAAAAAGGTTATAGGTTATAAAGGTTACAGGTATAAACTGCTGTTCCAATGGGTACTTTGTTTGTTTTTGAGTATTACATAAGGAGATAGGTTGGCGCCGTGTAAGGCATCGGTTACTCTTCTTCCATAGGTGCAGCTTGAAACTTTGAGGTTCCCTTATTGCATCTAATTGTTGTATTATGACGCAAGACCATTAATGAATACAAGTCAATAAATTAAATTAATTCGTTATTCCAAGCAAACCACCAAGCGATGCTGTGGAATTCAGGCTTGATAATCAACATGTACGCTGAAAGCTTTTACTTTTACGGGAAAAACGAACTTTTCGTATACAGTGAAATGCAAAATAAAATTATATTCCGGCCCCGTCAGTCATACAATGATGCAGAACTCGGAACATCCTGAACAATGACGTGAATTTCCCTGAGAGACGAGAAATCTTAAGTTAAAAAAACATGCTTTTAGCGCACCATTAATGTAGTGTCTAAGCTATTTTCATATAGTTCATATATAAAAGCATACACGGTGCTTGTTTTTGGTGTGCAGTTGTCCACAGCATCTCAATTTTCAGGCTTAAGATACTTCCACTATCACACATTAGACTTACTTAAATCCACTTGTTCGGGGCCTTTTTTCCTACTGCAAAACAAACCAACTGGTGCTTCGTAGCCTTCAGCGATGCTTTCAAAGCCAAAACAATCTACAAATACTTGATTGCAAACTATTAAATTTACGAAAAGAGATCACACACTAAACAAAAGTTACCACGCATATTCAACCATGTGCAGAGTACTACGAAACCCGTAGTTGTGACCCGCTGACAAATGCAGTCATTTAAGTGCTCTCAATTGTTCCGGAAGGTGACTGGTGTTCGTAAATCTTAGTTAAGAAAGGAAGATCGCGTTGTAAAAATTTTTTCTCTAGTCACAGTCTTTAAAATATTTAATGCTCTGTTGAAACATCTAGCTCTTAATATGATGGTGTCTAGCAGGTAATACGTAGAAGAAAATTTAGCCACATGTTATGTCGTATACTTCTCAATGCTTTCTTCAACCTTATTCGACCATATGTGCTACAGAGAATCCTTTAGAAAACCATGTAAAAGGTCTTAGTTTCACCATAAAAGCCAAGCAGTGGATGCGGTAGCAAGATCTTAGAATGTGACAAAAAATGGCGCTCATCTAGATACGTGCAGCCTGCAGCTGAAGCACCAAGAATGATACTCGAAAGGATAGTACATGTATTCGCAGGAGAAGCGTGAACTAAACAAACTGTCCCAGTTACGTATTTGTGTTTGTGCTACTCGCTGCAACTGTTGTTGATGCAGAACCCAACGCTCTTAGTTATTTCTTTTTTTACCTTTTGGTGCATAGACTGACCTCGGTGGTTTTAATGCCGCGCAGTGGCACCTCACATAAGATTTGCCAAGAGTTACTGTATACGCCCCGTGTTCCTTCTTTTTTCCTTCCGTATCATTACTCAGTACGGAAAGCGGCCACCTTCTCTTGAGCTGTCTCTGGGCCAGTATAGAAATCATAAGAAAATTTAGGAGCGTTGCGTCATAGAAAACATGCTCAATCTTCTCCAAGATCTACGTACCGTTAGCGTAAAATTTTTTTATAAACAGCCTCTCGTTATGGCTCCGGTACGTGCATGGCACGTGGTTGAGTTGTCTAACGCAGTGCCATGTGGATTCAAAGGTCGTTCTCTCGAACCCTGGGTCTAGCGCATCGGAACAGTTTTAGGGGCGAAGCTCCTTATAGCGCCACCCGTTTGTCCCTCGTAGTCGTAGTAGTAGTCGTAGTGTGTAACCAGTCTTACATTTTGACCTCCAAGGTGGTGCCGGTGAGAGATTTCTTCTGTGCGTTGTTGAACAATAAAAAAAATTCGCAGCGTGCGCGTTAACTAAAAGCTGAATTCTCCTGTCTCTCATTCCCTCTTAGCAGCCATTGGCATGCACATTGAGCACTCTGCGTAATACTCGCAGGGCATAACCTCCTTAGTTTTAGATATGTTTAGTGAGCGTTGGGCCGCAGTCCCATGACTACAGTGAACTAGTATATACCATGAACTCGAGGTCGTTAAAGGTGGGAAGTAGACACGAAGTGCAAGCCGTAAGAAAGTGTGCGTGTGCCACATCTCGTTTAGTCCTTGGAATGTCGGCTGGATGGCGGTGCACATGCGGAATATATGATGAAAAGATGCGAGATGGTAATACTTGGGGTGTTGAATAGATGGACGAACGGACACGCAGAGAGATGCATGGACAAACGCATGAATGGACGGAAGCAAGAACGAACGGATGGACGGATGCTTCGCCCTACTCTCCATCTTGCACTCCATGGATGTGCTGCCATTTTTTTCTGTTTATTTTTCTTTGTGACTTTTAAATTTACTTTTTTATTCATGTATTTACATTACCTCGCAGGAGCCCCCAGAGCCACTGTGTAAGGAGGCGACACAATATATATATATATATATATATATATATATATATATATATATATATATGTGTGTGTGTGTGTGTGTGTGTGTGTGTGTGTGTGTGTGTGTGTGTGGAAACGTTGATAATTGCAGGAAATACGTTCGTGGACATATCTGGGACATGATGGCGCCGAAGATGGCAGAAATCGGCCAAAAGTGCTCATCTAATTGCCATTGCCACAAAACGTGCCTAACAGACACCCTAGACGGCTAAATATTTGACTGCACGTATCCCTTGCCCTCAACAACAAACCTCTATTTAGGTACCAACACCTACTTAATCTGAAGAATCAGTGGTAATGTAACGTCTTTTAAGCTTCTGTAATTGTCTTTCTTTCCTACCTGCTTATTTTATTGCAGATTTTCCAAGCTGGAAAAACTACGGCAAGGGAGGTGCAAGGTGTGCAAGAGCGTTTGATCTCCAGCTGGTAGGTACATTCTCTGAATACATGCTAGTGCGCGTCAAATGCTACGGCCTGTGAACAAAAACGGCATATGTTTGTGAGAAAAAAAGCACCAAATACCATTTTTATGTGCTTCTAACCTACGCTTCTAAGGAAGACACGCCCTTATTATATTCAAAGTCGATATTGCAATACATTTCTTTTCCTGGCTATTACTCAAAGTAAAGTTACGTTACTTCAGTAATTTCTTCATTTCGTTTCAGTCCTGCAAAGAATGAATAAACATAGGCTTTACAAGGACTTTCTACATCAAGGAAACATTTTGAGGGTGCTATATCTTTGTACTTCTGTAGAATGCTAAAGCGGGAGTACTACGTGTCGGCAGGCTGATACTATTATCATAGGATCTGTTTAGGGTGGTTGCGGTTGGTGTACTGCGAACAAATACTCCCATTATTATGAACCGGCAAGCACTTTCTTCGCCCTCTCCTTCATCATCTTGCGTTTGTCTTGGGCTTTGCTTCCAAAAAAACACACAAACGTTCGTCGTTACAAATGATGCAATATCCAGTTACTCTGACTAGTGAGATCAGAGCATAGAGTCAAAGAAAGAGAACGAAAGGCAGAGAAATAACGCTATTGAACGATAAAAATTATAAAAGAAAACGATTCTTCGCGCGACGAGATTCAATCCCGCGTATCTACGCTCTGAGGGGCGGCGTCTTAAATACCCAGTCACACGGAAACCATAGCAGGACATCGCACAGCCTTCTTAAGTGTAGTATAACAAGGCAATATGAAAGAGAAGTAAGGCTGAGGGGAACATTATGACAGGGTGAGTTGACCTCAGAAGCTTGACCACTCCTTCATTCTTCCTTACCAAAAAAAAAAAACACTCGTCAATTACTAGAATGTCAAGTTGCTTTTGGGAAAAAATGATGCAGCAAAGTTTTGCCAGGTCCCTGTTTCGGAGATAGTGCTATGACATAAAAAATAGACTTTAAGGGTTTTCATAGACGAAAACGTATTTAGGCACACGTACTTTTGCTCGTTACGCCATGCAATGAACAGCAACGAGTACACGTGTATAGAAATCTTTGTTTATTCATCAACACCCATAAAAGCCAAAGCGAATTTGCCTTCCGTATCATTGTTTTTGAAATGGGGCGAGTTTTTTCAGCACGTGAACATATGAAAGAAGGACAGAGTACGCAAAAATCGGTCGTGTACCGAAAAAAAACTTCTCAGTATGACTACAGACAAAAAAGTCCTAGCATCCACTTCTGAAACAAAGACCTGGCAGAAGTCTGTTGCACCATTTTTAGAAAAACAACTAAAGCCTCTAATAATTGTTGACCTGTATTTTGGTAAAGAAAGGACGAGGAAGGGTGAAAGGTCCAGGGGAGACATTGAATGATTGATATGTGGGGTTTAACACTCCAATATCACCATATGACTATGAGAGACGCCGTAGTGGAGGGCTCCGAAAATTTTGACCACCTGAGAATCTTTAACGTGCACCCAAATCTGAGCACACGGTTTTACAACATTTCCCCCTCCACCTGAAATGCAGTTGCCGCCGCCGGGATTCGATCCTGCGACCTGCAGGTCAGCAGCCAAGTACCTTAGCCACTATACCAGCACAGCGGAGCAAAGGGGAGATAATAAAGCACGGCTTAGAAACAAGGAGAAAGACGAAAATGATCGAGAAAACTAAAGGTGGCAAGAAAAGCAGCATAGAAAGAGAGATAAAAGACAGAGATATAAAGAAAAGAGGAAGCGAGAGAAGCACAGAAAGAGAGACACAGAAATGAATGGAATATGCATAAAAAACAAAAAAATGAGAATGTCAGAGAGAGCAACAAATAAAATTCAACAAAGAGGAGAAACACTTCAAGAAACACACAAAGGGGAGAAAAGAAACAGGTGAAAGAAAGTTCGCAAAACTTAGCAAAACGGTAAATGTCCGGAATACCTGGGTTGCGATCAGCGTTGCTGCCACTTTAGCATTGGATCTTCATTGAAACGTATGCTGATGTCTTCAATTTACTAATTAGTAATATATTTTTGTGCTATTTTATGTAATGAGAAGGAACAAAACTGTACTATATTATAATATTAGGGTAAACTAAGCTGTTGGTTATGGCTTTTCTGCAAGCCGCTTTTACAAAGTTTATTACGACTTTTGGGTAATTTGTTAAATATGGCTTAAGAAATGTATTTTGCCTTTGTAGTTCTGCAAATCTAAGTTTTTGATACTCGCCCTCGCTAAAATATTGAGTGCATGTATTTTTTCTAGCCCTTCCGAGTCCGCTGTCGGTACCTGTGTAAAGGATGGCCAGTCCGTGCTGTCAATGAAGCTGATGGCGAGCCTTGCGCTGTAAGTAAATATTACGCTTGAGCCCCTGCTTGTTTTCGAGTACAATTTTGCCATTTAGCACGTGCACTAAGTAACAGATTGATCGTGCTTTAGTATAATGAGTGCTGAAAGCACGTTTGTATTTTTGTTGTGACGTTGAGTAGATGTTGGCTGCGAAATTAAACAGTAGATATTTTAACCACTGGTGTAATTCCCAGCAATTAAGGCTATCACTTGATGCATACTTATGAAAGCTGGAATTTCTCCTTCTTCCTAATTCTATTGAACTACAAGAGCAGAGAGGGTTTTCCTATAGAAGAATGCCAATTCAGCCACATATATTTCAAGCTCCTTTCACGAAAAGTGGCACGTCTTGTAAAAAACACATCAGAACATTTCTAATGACGCTACCCTCAAAAGAAATAGCTTGTTTCGTCAATCCAGCTTGCAGAAATCGGCCGCATAGTTTTTGAGTTCTTTATACTTATCTGCAACACGGAAAGTCGTGAAAGTCGACGCTACTCGCAGTGCAAAGCCATGTCTCGTCACAGAAAATTAAGAAGGACACAAGTATTGGCTCTGGTGTAAAACACTCCATGGTTTTCAGTCATTTATTGCATACGCAGAGAGTGAGACAAATCATGGTATGGATGAAGGCATTTCACGTAAACACTCAATTATTTCGATACTTACAATAGGCTGCATCAGCCTGGCACTAACGGTACATGCGAGGCCAGCTGCTATATGGATCATAAGCAAATGTTTCTCGAATGTATGTTCTTCTATTACGCTTCTGTATGAGTGAACAGCTGTTGTAGGCATATTTGTGAACGAACCAATTAAAAGCCAGTACAGTAATAACAAAGAGCATCAACCTTTGCGAGCAGCCGTTGCTACTCATATAGTTTGTACACTGGTATGACGTTTGCCATCACACCTTATTAGCCAATGGGAAGAAAAAAGATCTAATGAATCACGAAATTTCATAGCTCAATGCATGACTAATAATGCCAAAGCATTGTACTTGAATTCAGGTTCATGGATTTTTCACGTCAAAAAAACAAACTAGGCACTAAGGAAAAACTTTTCGCCTAATTAGTCGCACTAAGATGTAGGGACACTTTCTAGCGCTGCTATTTTTTAAACACAGGCGACAGATCGATTGTTCTTATGCGATCTACATCCATACCACCGTTGAGTAGGGCCGTCACCTTTGCTGGACTTCCACAATAGCAAGGAACGCGAAAAAAAAATCAAGGTGGACCTAGGGAGAAAAAAGGAGAACAAGCGCCGGCCCAGCTGGCCCAGCTGTTTACCATTTCGCTTACTTTGATGAGATTTCTCAATGCTTTGCTGTATTCGATATTCAATTTTATATTGTATAGTCTCTTCTTCCATAGTAGAAGTTCAGTTTACACACCTTTGCCTTCTGGCAGTTTTTCATTGCCGTCTCTGACGTACAGCATATCCTAATATTTTTTTCAAGAGAACAAGAACAAACGTTTGCGGATGTGAAGCACTAATGTTGGCATGTGTAACATCAAATTAAACTCACTTTTTAAGTAAGCTTTACATGATACAGCCCAAGAACACAAAGACCATGAATTCAACTCAATTGATCAGAATGTTAGTAATGCGGCAAGTTGCAGCGAAATATTTCTATATACAGATCACGTAAAATGGCCCGGATATCAATGTTATTTAACCTAGCAATAAAAAGAATCAGGTGGGCTTCTTTTGGCTTTGTGTGTAAGATGTATTCATACGGCAAATCTTTAGGAAAATCTTAGGATACAAAAATACACAATTTGTAAGTAGCCAGGAAGGTTTAGAGCGTATTTATAGTCAAACAAAAGAAAATTATTTACGAGTAAAAATTTGAAAACGAAGCGAAGCTTTCTATTGTAAGTATTCATTCAGAGACTTCTTATATGTCTGCGGCGTTTCAGTGTTACTGAAATATCATACTACGTCTGATCCACTCAACCCAGGCTCTTTTCCGTGGAACTGGAACATGCCAGAACGGACGCTGCGTAGTAGGCAGTTCTACGTCGTCTGTTACCCAGCCTGACACAGAATTTGCTGGAAGGGGGCGTCCCGAACTGACTCCAGAGACAAGCACAGAACGCCAACGTGAACCCGAAGGACCACAGTCTTCCACTGACGCTGAGCCAGAGAGCCCAGTCGATGTAGAAACAACTGCCCCAGAAGCGTCTTCTGAGCCTGAATCTTCCTCCGAACCTGAAAAGGAACCTGAAGTGGAACCCGAGACACAACCTGAAGTAGCTTCGGCACCCGAAGGTGACGACGCTTCCCGCGACGAAGAACCTGTGCCGGAAGCAGAACCAAGTCCTCAACCAGAGGAAGCCCAACCTGATGCACAACCTGAGGCTGAGCCGGAAGCTGAACGACAAGCACAGCCACAGCCAGACGCAGAGCCGCAACCAGAAGCACAACCTGAAGCCCAACCCGAAGCGCAACCAGAGCCACAGCCTGAATCACAGCCAGACGCTGCAGCTGAGCAACAGCCAGAAGCACAGCCTGAGCCACAACCTGAAGCGGAACCAGAGCCGCAGCCTGAACAAGAGCCAGACGCCGCAGCGGAGCTACAGCCAGAAGCACAGCCTGAGCCACAGCCCGCAGCGCAACCAGAGCCGCAGCCTGAGCAACAGCCAGAAGCACAGCCTGAGCCACAACCTGAAGCGCAGCCAGAACTGCAGCCTGAACAACAGCCAGAAGCACAGCCTGAGCCACAACCTGAAGCGCAACCACAGCCGCAGCCTGAACAACAGCCAGAAGCACAACCTGAGCCACAACCAGAAGCGCAACCAGAGCCGCAGCCTGAACAACAGCCAGAAGAAAAACCTGAGCCACAACCCGAAGCGCAACCAGAACCGCAGCCTCAGCCACAGCCAGAGGTGGAGCCTCAGCCAGCACCTGAAGCGCAACCAGAAGTCACATTCGAAGCACAACCCGAAGTGCTAGCGGCACAACCTGCTGAAGCACCAGTTGAACAACCACCATTTCTGCCACAAGGCCAACAAAGCGGTGCGACCCAGCCCGTACCGCTACCAGGCGGCTATGTTGAAAATGAGATTCTTCAATAAATGTAGTTTCGTAACTGTTAGGTATAAAAAGTATTTTTCAGTCATTGCCGCTACACATAGTAGTCGAGAATACGAAGTCTCTAGCTCACTAGCGTTATGGTTGTTTCGCTAAACGCGCATATGTGCAGCGCTATTTTTTCTACTCACTTAAATCTTTCTCTGATACTCACCTTTTCTCTAAAGTGAACAAAAACTGAAGCGTGTCCGAGTCTTAATGTAGTCATTTATTTAATTCTGACTGTGCTGAGCAATGCGTGCAATGTTGGCTAGCATTAGCTGCTGTCGGTTATTGTTGCAAATAGAAATGTAAATGATGGCAACTAATGGTCGACTGGTATACGAAATATCACAGTGATAGTTTTTTATAAACCACTAAATTTCTACTAACTTTGCTATGATAAAGCATACAACTGAATGTTTTTTTCAAGCAAGCGCACATTAAAAAAAAGCATCGCAATAGGCTGCAGCAACATTCACGCCACCTTTTCATAGCAAGGTTGGTGAAGGAAAAAATAGGCGATATGCTTCGAGACTATTAGAGGTAATCTAAAAGAAGTCATAACAATGTGACGTCTCCTTTGCTTATTTACTGAGAGGAGTAGCGCAATTGATGACACGTTCACGCACGCGAAATTCGTTACAGTTTGCATGCTTGAGTGACTAGCACTTTCTCTAGTGCCCTTCATGAAGCGTCTGAGACACTCATACTAACGCAGGAGCGTATTTAACATGTGTGGCGCTGATATCCGGAGCATTGCTTCAGTCAGAATTTATAAAAAGGTGCCGTGGCACTCGAACTGATTGGTCTCAAGTTATGGGAACGAATGTGATGTTGAAAATGCCCATGTTTTTATTACCTTAGGTGCTTACACTTGAACCTGTTCCTAACAAAATGAGAGCATCAAATAAGAATTATCAGCATTTCTTCTTCAAAGAATTAAGTTCAAATCATCATAACCGTTTCTTAGAAGCCATGCTTGGCATTTGATATTCCGGATAAAACCAGTCTTTCACTGAGGCGGACCCCTCCATCGTTCATATAATTCCCATAAATGCATGTGGAGTAAGCATGGATGTACCCCCGAGTGGTTATGACACTTGTCTTCGAACAGTCAGGGTCCGGGTTAAAAGACAGTTTTGGTGAGCAAACATATTTTGTTTATTCATATATTTACTACGCTTTCAGTTTCACGTTTGCACAGTCTATCACGTCACCTTACTCCTTTTAGTTGTTTCACAAGGCCTTCTTTTCTTTTGTCTCTTGAATTGTTTTAAAATTAGTATCAGTGGACAATCCGTTTCAGTGCCTCATAAACCGTTGAGATAGATTTTCTTAAAGTCAGGGTTTGAGCTTGACTGGAGCTCTTATCATGGCATTCAGCTGCAATACCCAAGAGCCATGCTCACTGCCTGGAAGTGCTAGGGCGGAATCCAATGTGCGTCCGCAAATTCTCGAGGAGGACCGACGTTAAATATTGCCTGTTAGAAGCGTAAAAGCGCACCTGTGCTTACACTACGGGAGATCCGTAACGAGTTGGTCACAAGTGTGATTCTTGGCATAGCGACTGCACTTCGATAGCGCGATATTTAGGCACACCTGCGAACAAGCTATGCGCATTAAGAGAACTCTCTTCCTATCGATCAAAATCATTATTAGTCACTGTTGCATGCGTTGCCCCTTAGAAGAGTTGTCGGTAGATGGCTAATTTGAATACGTGCATTGGTGGCGTAGTTACGGTTACGGGTAATATCTCTAATTATTACGGGTAATATTTACGAGTATGTGTCGCTAGTATGTGGGTATGTGCCACAGGTGATTGACATTTTGTATCTACTCAGGAATGACAAGAACACACATGGGCAATTTTAACGCGTTAGCGTTATGCAATACCCGACAACGGTAGCGTCGACCCAACGAAGGCATAGAATAAATGTCAGTGTTAAGAAAAACCTCACATAGGCAGCGTTGACGCCTCGACGTATGCAAATAATAAATTTTAGGGTCCCAGCAGGAATCTAACGCAAGCATTCTGCGTGGCAGTCAAGCATTCTGCCAAAGAGCTACGACAGGTCTCGGAACTATTTTTTAAAAACACGCTAATCTTCGCGAAACTTTATTAGTGGTTGCAGTGCTTGCTACTCAATTTTATAAACATTACATATGTACTCCTTTGGTACAGCCGTCACGTCGGGTGAACTTCCATTGGGGTTAGGTGCCATGCGCTGAAGTTTATATATGTGCCAGTGTCCACGGCCAACATCTTCACGACGATCAGCGCTTCATATCACTTTCTTGTGTTTTAGATGCGGAAGCATCTTATACTCGCGCCTTGTAGTGCGCCGTCCGCGCCGTCCGCGCCGTCCGCACCGCTTCTCGAACATTCGACAGCTGACGCGCGCGCATGCGCCGTCGCGCCGTCGCCCACTCTTCCACCATCTGTGCATCCCTTCCTCCTCTACACACCGCGCGCGCTTCACTCCTCCACCATCTGTGCACCCTTCCTCCTCTACACACCGCGTTCGACATCTACAATTCTCCTGATTCTCCAGTGGACGCGCATGTGGCGTCGCGCTTCGAGAACATTCAACAGCTGACAGTGCATGCGCCGTCGTGCTGTATATATACTCAAGGTCGGCGCTCGCTCGCTCAGTTGCCGCTCGTCGGTTGGTTTGTACGGCGCGTCGACGTCCAAGGTCGCGGTGAAATGAATTCCAACGAATCCACAAACACAATGATCGACGTCCCTTCGACCAGCGCCGCCCTTTCGCATACGTGTGTACGTGTTCACTCATTTAACACCCCCTCCTACAACCACGTTAACCAATTTAGCCATCGACCCAAGTAAGTCGCAATTTAACACTCCATTTCACAACCACGTTAACCAATTTAGCCATCGACCCAAGTAAGTCGCACTTTAACACCCCGTTAACCAATTATATGGTCCGCATCCTCCTCAGTGTTCCCCCGAGGGAAGCAGCGGGCAATTTTTTTAATGCGCATGTTCCAGTTTGCATTGTTGCGCAAGTGCAAAGAACTGTATATAAACACCTGAAACTCCTCAACATATGTCTGTGCGTGCGAAATTTTTACATGTATTTAGCGTCATTTCACGACGTGTCGCTCAATTTAAACAAAATGCCACATGGTCGCCTTCCCTCCGCATGCTTCGCATAGCGTCGATTCTCAGGTACGTGAGTCTGGCGGATTTGTTTACTGTACACTGATATCAGAGATCTTGCGCAGTGTCTCTTGATGTTTGAGAGCAAACTATCGCGAACGCATCCACGTTGACGCTTATTGATATCTATTTCGACGGCTAACGTCCCATATAATGCTTGTGGTCATAAAAGCTTGTGGTAGCTGTACTTTAGTTAACGGTGAGAGCGGAATCAGAGAAAGCGCTGTTACAGCCAGCAGAGCCGTCCCTGAACGGTCGCTGAACATTGGCTAAGGTGACCTACTCACGACATGTTATAGTACTGAATGCTACTGCCCAACTAGAGAGAAACGCAACACACGTCTTCATACGCTGTTGGCTAGCAGCAATTTTTCGCGAGGTGATCGTAAGTGGAGCACGTGGTGGTACTTCCAGACGACGCAGAGCTGTTTTAAGTGTGAATACACTTTATAAGCGACCCCAAACCATCCACCGCCGTCGGCGGCGTCCGCAGTCTTCTCTCTATCTTTAAAAGAAAGAGGACTTGGCGGGCCGCAGCGCGACGCTCTACCGAATAAGCCATGGACGCGACGCTGATATCGGTGTCGCTCCTCCGCTCTCCTCGCTCGCTGCAGCTTCGCGCGCACCCCTCTCTCTCGCGCGCCCGCCTTCTCTCTCAGTCTCCTGTTGAGAGCGGGTCATGCGATGGATGTCCCGGGGCAACGCTACCATCTGGATATAAGGCGCGTTACTGACACCGATATACATATATATATATATATATATATATATATATATATATATATATATATAGAGAGAGAGAGAGAGAGAGAGAGAAAGAAAGAGAGAGAGAAGACTGCGGTCGCCGCCGACGGCGGTGGATGGTTTGGGGTCGCTTATAAAGTGTATTCACACTATATATATATATATATATATATATATATATATATATATATATATATATATATATATATATATATATATATATATATATAAACTGTTTTTTTTGGTATAGATAAGTGTAATGGGCGAGGTGATGATTGGTGTAATCTCGCCAACTTGCGTCCTGGTAACGCATGTAAAAAAATGCATTTCTCCAGTTCGAAATGCGCTAAATGAACCTGAAGCTATAAAGACGCGTTGAATGAATAGTCATGCATGGTCCGTTACTGCACTTTACAAAAATCACTGTGAAAGAAGGTTGGTAGATAAAAAGAAGTGCTGAAGACCACCTGGCGGTGGCGCAGAGTGGTAGTCTGCCCAGCCTTTGTTGACATTAACTGCAATTCCATGGGTTCGAGTACCATTCTCATAGCTTACTTGCTTTCTGATTGTGCACATTTTTTGAGATCAGTTCCTCGACAGAAATACGTCTCTGAAGTCTTTGCTGGCCCCGGAATAAAAGACTGTCATGTTTCAAAAAAAAAAACAAGTAAGTGATCCTTTTGTCATATGAACCTGAATAACATGCAAGTTAAGCTTGTCTACACAGAAGTAGTCAATATAAGAGAGAATGCACAATACCTCTTAATGCTTGACAGCTATAATGCCATTTAACGTGAACCCACGCATGTTAACGATTAAGGATACCTTTCCGTTTCCAAGACTAGCACCTATGGTGAATGAATAATAAGAGTAATTGTATATTATTGATAAAACTAATAATAGTTGTTATCATTTAATGTACATTGAGCACTATCTGACAGGAAAAGGTTGCTACGTTATACTCGCTGGGCGTAACTTCTTTGGTTTTAGAAAGGTTTAGCGAGCGTTGGGCCGCAGTGCCATGAATACAGTGACCTAGTATATAACATGAACTTGAGGTGGTTAAAGGTGGGAAGTAGACCCGAAGCGCAAGCCGTAAAA